GCCTTAGCCACTTGAGCCACAAGCGCTGAGCCCAAACTCTAGGTCTTAAGTGATTCTCTTGCTTCAGCTTCCCAAGTAGCTGGGACTACAGGTGCCCACTACTGACACCTGGCTATTTTTTTGTTGCTGTTGTTTAGCTGGCCCAGGCCATGTTCGAACCTGCCATTCTCGGTGTATGTGGCCAGCACTGTAACCATTGTGCTTCAGGCACCGAGCCACTTTAAGGGCTTCTAGGTGCTAAACACAACTCTGTCCTGTTGGATGAACTGGCTGGAATTTTGGGGCTCTCATGTTACAACATAAATTAGACTGAACTTTAATTTTCCAGATAGCAGCTGTGAGAAATCACACATCTCTGTTCTATGCCTTAGTTCTTTTATCTTTCTTGATGGGAATGGAGATGGATATCTCACCTTGGAACGGGGCATGGAAGGTAACAGATGACCACGATCATTGGCGATGATCTGAGTATAGCCTTCATTAGAAGAGATTCTCTAGAGTACAAATGGGAGAGAGAAGTGCTTGTGAATGAAAAAGGGAAGTATCTGGGGAGGGGGGCTTGAATTAAGGGTGTGGTGAGAAGAGGACATGAGAGTTTAGAGAATGCTAAAAAGGAGTTAGGTGACCAGGGATGACATAGAGCATGATGAAAAGAACCAGAAACTAGACTTCTAGGTGCACTGAACATGGAATACCTCTTTTGTTGGCTTGGCAGGAGACCAGTTCTGCAGATACTTTGATGAGAAAGCTTTTTCATACTGTGGAGAGAAAGAAGAGAATCTCTGTGAGGCTTAAAGGCCCCAAGTCCAGGAAATGATAACTAGACACAGTTCTTTAGAGTTGAAGACCAAAGTCCCAAGCAACCACATGGGCTTTAACTCTCACCATAACAAGGGTTTAATTTGTGTGTAGTCTAACATGGAACCAGTAGCTACATGGAGCTGAAGCACTTGAATTCTGACTAGTTCAAATTAAAGCGCTTTGTTAAATGCGAAGTACACTGGATTTGAAGACTTTGCACAAAAAACGAATGTAGAATATCTGATTATAATGTTTGAAATATTGGTTAGGGCAGTGCCTATGGCTCAAAGGAGTAGGGCACCGGCCCCCTATGCTGGAGGTGGCGGGTTCAAACCCAGCCCCGGCCAAAAACAGCAACAACAAAATAATAATAAAATATTGGTTAAATGTTAAAATGATATTTTTGATTTGTTGGGTTAAATTATACATACATACA